ATATATATATATATATATATATATATATATATATATTCTAAGGCCAGATGCTGAGGCAGCAATCTTTCTTTAAGGTGAGACCAAATGGTACCAAGTTGTAGATGTGCCTCCAATTATTATTCCCTATAACTTTTTTCTGCTAAGTGGCTCATGTGATGCTTCGCTAACAGACAGAGTTTACTCCAAATACTTAACGGCTACATTTTAAACAACAGATCTTGCATAATCTCTCCACACTTAAAATGTGTTGGGAATCAGCCTCAGCTACTGCCACAACATATGTTAGCCCATTCGTCCATCTTCTTCCTTTTTGGGTCACTGGTGCCCATATCCAGCAGTCACTGTGCATGTGGCAAGGACACCGTGGACAGGTCGCATGTCCATGACAGGGACACAAAGACAAACAACCATTCACTCTCTCACTCACACCTAAGGACAATTTAGTTACCAATCAGCCTAAGATGCATGTTTTTGGTCTGTGGGAGGAAATGGAGTACCCAGAGAAAACCCACGCATGTACAGTGCTTGCAAACTCCAGCCAGAAAGGTCCTCGGCCGGGGTTTGATCCAGCGACCTGCTCACTGAGAGGCAGCAGCTCTACCAACTGTACCACCAAACTGCCAAATTATAGCCCAATGCGTATAAAACTTGCTCAATTATATTTTTGTTTCCTGAAGTCAGTTTACTGTGACACCCATCTTTAGTCGGATTGACTCCAAAGTGGTTATCAGTTGTAGAAGTGCATCCAGTGACCACTTTCTAATTGTTTCCTTTAAATTTATCCAGGGGTTCATTAGATATTTTGCTAACAAAGACACAAAGAGGTTAAAAAAACCAACAAAAATCAACCTGCTTTCGATATTTAAGTGTAATGAGCTTTTAATGGGTAAAGAAAATGAAACTTGGGTCATTAGCAAACACTGTTGGCTATCATTTTAGATCTTAACCGCTCTGGAAAGGTGAGCATAATTCAGTGGGAGCGTGTGTGTGTGTGTGTGTGTGTGTGTGTGTGTGTGTGTGTGTGTGTG